AGGACCCACAGACCTTCCATGGGATGGGTGGTGGGTCCCAATGGGAGACAGGATGGGTAGGCACAGCTCAGGGGGTGCTGACACCCCCACGTTGGCTTTGCAGGGAGCTACATGTCCTCCCCATCCAACATCACCCTCCAAAGCCCTTCCCTGCATCCCCAGCACAGCCAGAGCTCCTCCAGGAGGACGTGGGGCGTCCGTCTGTCCCCTCTCCTGCTTCCTTCCTGCCCTTTGTGGGCTGTTTGTGCAGGAAACCTGTCCCTGCCGGGATGGGGACCCTGGGGACAGCAGCTGTGAGCTCCGACCCGTCCTGCCGTTTCCGTCAGTATTACCCCTTCCCCACTAACGAAGCTACTGTTAATTAGGGGCCACGAGGTGACAGGGGTGTCCCCATCACCCGCCGCTCTTGCCTGCTCCAAGGTCACCCTGTTGTTATCTCAGTCCCGTAAAGTGGGAACAGCACGTCCTGGGAGGGACTCACACCCTGAAATTTCCCCAGAGGGGATTGTCACCCGTGGGTGACACCACAGAGCTGAGATGGTAACACTGAGCAGGGCATGGACCACCCCCCACCCCCCCAGGGACTGCAGGGCTGTGTGTCCCAGAGGGGCAGGAAATGCTTTCCAAGGGAGGGACTGAAAGCAAATAAATAAACCCCAACAAAGGGAGTTCTGCGAAAGGGAAAATAAATATGAGATGTGTGGGAATGGGGAGAGGAGTGAGGACCTGGAGAGAGGAGTGGGGGGACATGGAGAGAGGAGTGGGAGAGGAGTGGGGACGTGGAGAGAGGAGTAGGGACACAGAGAGAGGACTGGGGATGTGGAGAAGAGTGGGGACATGAAGAGAGGTGTGGGGACGTGGAGAGAGGAATGGGAGAGGAGTGGAAACCTGGAGAGAGGTGTGGGAGAGGAGTAAGGACATAGAGAGAGGAGCAGAAGAGGAGTTGGGACATGGAGAGAGGAGGGAGGACATGGAGAGAGGAGTGGGAGAGGAGTGGGGACCTGAAGAGAGGAGTTGGGACATGGAGAAAGGAGTAGGAGAGGAGGGAGGACATGGAGAGAGGAGTGGGGACATGGAGAGAGGAGTGGGAGAAGACTGGGGACATGGAAAGAGAACTGGGCATGAGGATGGGATGGGGACAGGGACAGGGGTGCAGCCCCTGAGAAGGCCTGGGCAGCTCCTCCTCACCCAGAGCAATAGCAGCACCCCCAAAACCACACTCCAAGGCATTGCATTCCCAATCCTTCCTTCCTTGTGGAATTCCTGCACCCTGTGGAGCTGCAGAGCCAGGCCAGGCCATGGCACATCCTGAGGTGCAGGCTGAGAGCAGCACTGCAGGGATTGAGCACAGCAGGATGTCCCCAACGTCCCCTCCCAACGGACAGGGACTCATGGAAGTTGTAAATCCCCTCGGTTTCCTGGTGGCACGTCCCCAGGGAGCCGAGTTAATGATTGCTCAGACCGAAACCAGGAGCTGAGGCCGAGCAGCATCTCGGGGCGAGCCAAGGGGACAGGACCCAGAGCTCCTGGCACTCTGCCCATCAGATCCCACCCTGTTTGCCTTTCAGGGAGTTTGAGACCAGTTCACCCAGTCTGGCACGCTGGGAAAAGCTTTGTGGGGCGCTGAGGAATGGCAAAGGTTGGGAAAACACAGGGTGACAGGGAGGGACGTGGCAAGTTCTGGGCACAATATCACTCCAGGGGCCATAACAGGATGTGTAAACACACTGGGACCAGGCACTGGGGTGCCAGGTTGGGCAAGGAGAATGTGTCCCCATGTAGTCCTGGATTCCCACATGGTTCCAGTGTTCCCAGTACATCCCAACCCACCATTGCCTTGGGAATATTCAGCCCTGCAGGCAGGAAGGGAGGGAGGGAGGATGCTCCCAGTGCCCAGCACACCTCAGACTCACCCACTCCTCCACGTTGGGACCCTCTTGGCCCACTGGCATCTTATCCCAGTAGATGTTTGGTTTTCCATATTTCCAGATCTTGCTCCGTGTCTTGTGAGCGAAGAAGCAGATGAGGCAGAGGAGGATGACGATGAGGAACCCACAGACAATGGCCACAGCCTGGAGGGGTGGAGGGAAGGAGCTCTCAGGGGGCACAGGGGTCTGGGATGAGTGGGAATTACTCCCTTCATCCCTAAATCCCCCAGTGTTAGACTCCCACCATAGCAGGGGGAGAGGGGAAGGGTCTCCCCATACCAGGATGGAGCCCATCAGAGATTTTAGGGCCATCTCAAGCAATGATGAAAGGAGCAGTTGCTTTTCCCACGGGGACAGGACAAATTTGGGAATTGGGAAGCTGCATGGAGT